CTGGAAAACTTAAAAGTTGCAGTTGGTTTAACATATCGTATATGTACTAGAGTCATGCTTCCATCAGGTGCTACAAGTTTTACCATCTAGTAACAGAGGCATGGCGGAGGCCGTATTGATAAGCCCATCTTGTAAGATGATTGAATTTACCACAAGTATGAGTTTAAGCGTAACTGTTGGCCATATGAAAAGAGTAAGAATGAACCCTGTGGAGCATCCTCATTTTGGTGGTAACACCAAGGTCTCAAGGTTGGTTTAATTACTGCTCACAAAACCGGAAAAATTTGTGGTGGCAAGACCGACTCCAAGAAGGAGACTTATATGTCGTTTTACACAATTTAGAAGATAAATCAATGCAGATTTTTTTCTAATACTTATTTGTTTTTCACTGGGTTCCTTTATTTAACAATTTAAAAGCAGTAATCACATATTTATAAGGACTGTAAGTAATAATTTATTTAAGCAAATGAAAAATAGCAAGTATTGCGCACGTACGTCCTTATATTACGTTCTGCCTTCGTTAACTTTATTTGCTAAGCTAACAGAACACCGGGAACAGTACAAAAGCTATTTGAATTGTAATATTTTATTTCATGAATCTACGACAAATTTGAAATATTTGGTTACATACTGAGAGTTTCGTTTTGCTGCAGATTTAAATTTTAAAAATACTGTATGTTTTATAATGTATATGGTTGAATGCCGCCATTTATATAAAGACTTCAATCGACTTCAAAACGGAGTAGGTTATCCATTTGTAGCCGGTGGAACGAAAAGGGGAGATCTCCCGCCGAGCAAGGTGTTCTGCCCGGGGAGCGGCTAACGCTGATAGTTAGGATAGTTCGGAGCTATGCTATAATTATACTGCTTTAACTTCGGAACTTTGTTAGCGCGATTTAGGCTTCGATGTGTTTCGCTTGTGGCGCGATGACAGCGCCGCCACACATTCATCATCACTATTACAGCCTCAGTATTTTTACTGTTTTGAGTTGTTTTCAGGAAGGTGCTGCCGCCCATCTTCTGTTTCAGTGTTTTCCTATCCTCTTACGACATAATATAATATGGGATGGTGAATTATCTTACGCTATCACATGACAATGTCGGCCGAAGGTGTAAATAGCCAACTGGCTAACAGCACTGACATCATAGATACTAGATGGTTTCATGGCAGATCTCTCTATTTAACTTTATTTTTGTATGTTAACAAATTTAAATGATTCTCTTTTATTAAATGGACTTAATCGATAGTGATTCCATTTAAGTTTGAAGGAAAAAAAACTTCACCGTAAGGGTGGCAAAATAATGATTTTTTTTAATGTAACTACGTAAATGACGTTCTAGTCAGTAAAGTCCACTCAAAAGTATCTCATACAAAAAAGTAAAAAAAAGCTAAAAAATGATCTAATAAAAACTTAAGTAAAATAGTTTCCACAATATTTAAAAAAGCAAAATTGGTGCGAAGATTTAGTGTTGAAGAATTAAGGCCTCGACGTCAGAAGCAATAAAATCATGTGTAACTTATTTTATTATATTTAATTTTTGATCCACACAAGAATAAGGTTAACTAACATAACCTAAAGGGAAAGTAATTTGAATTGGAAATGGATCGAACAAAACTAATAGAATTGACAACCAATGGGGTAAAAGTTCCTAGAGTTCCAGCCGTACTGGCAAGCGCAGTGTTGAGCAACCCCCACTGGATGGAGTGATGGCCTGATGAAACACGCAAGTGGTCGATGGACGTTGTAGTAACACATGATTTGGAGAGGTCTTAGATTTTTTAATTATTTAAGTCAATGCTTGACTACTGGGACAGTACCTGACGATAAGTGGTGAAAATTTATGTTCAGTAGTGCACATGTGATGGACTGTAATAATAGTGATCGTGTGAAATTTCATATAACAACTAATCTAATTTTATTTCGAAATGCCTACTAAAATTTTCAGTGATGTTATTGAGCTAGTTTCAGCAATTGATCATTTCTAGTCCCAAGCGTTTACGACAAGATACCTGGTCCACTGAGGCGTCCAGCCGTAACAAACGTGAGATAAAATCGATACGGACACTTGCTTTTCGTTCGCTTAACGAACGTCCACGAAGCTACTAAATTGTATTGAATAAAGATCAGTTGATTCTATTTTGAATGACCTGATAAATATAGATAAGTTTTTAATAATAAGGATTTAAATTCAAAAGAAGAAAGGAAGAAGTGCGAAGACAAAGATTATCGAAGTTTTTAACTTTTTTTAAGTATAATTATTTGTAGTGAATTAAGCAAAATAACAACAAGAACTTTATCTCTATGTTTAAGTACATTAAAATATCATCCCCGCTTTATAAATAATATAGGAGTTTAATAAAAGCTTAAACAACAGGCATTGATCATGAGCTGTGATGATCTGGATAAATATTTTATTTTATCCTGGTGACCCAATCATGGTACTAGAACAAAGTTAATAAATTATTGTGTTGTCACTTGATACGAATGCAAATTTTCAAGTTAATCCGTTTTCTGCAAGTAGGTGAAAGTTACATTAAAAGATTTTGTCACGTAGAGAGATACACGCGAATCTAATAAAAGCATGTTAAAATATATAAATCAGTTCAAGGTCGGCACAACAATCTATTAACAGTACAAACAAAAAATACAGTCCAATTGAGAATCTCCTCCTTTTTTTTAATCCGTAAAAAAGGCAAAAAAACGCCTCTTCTTTTGACGTTGTTTAAAAAGCCAAAAAAACTCCTTCTCTTTTACAGTCTTTCGAAGAACGAAAAACAAAATCATACAAACAATTAGTTATTATTTAACGAGCAACTCATTTGATAAAATCAGAAGTAAAATATCGATATGCTTCATCGTCATTTAGATTACAGAATACCCACGTGTGTATTTCCCAAACCCTCTCCTACGCTCCACCGCAAAGCACTCCGTTGACCTAAATAATCACAGACTACTTTCGCACCAGTACGCCGCGCCGGTTCAATTAGATCAAGTACATCCAAAGCAGTCCAAATAGTATTTAGTAAATAATTTATTTGCTGGCCGTATGAGAAAGCTCAAGGTCGCTCAGCGAGCTATGGAGAGGGCTATGCTCGGAGTTTCTCTGCGTGATAAACTTAGAAATGAGGATATCCGCAGTAGAACCAGAGTAACCGACATAGCCCAACGGATTAGTAAGCTGAAGTGGCAGTGGGCCGGCCATATAGCTCGAAGAACCGACAACCGATGGGGAAGAAAGGTTCTCGAGTGGCGGCCTCGTACCGGTAGGCGAAGTGTAGGGCGTCCCCCCACGAGATGGAGTGACGACCTAGTAAGACATGCAGGAAGTCGATGGATGCGGGTGGCTCAGGACCGTGCTTTGTGGCATTCTTTGGGGGAGGCCTATGTTCAGCAGTGGACTTGTGAAGGGCTGTAATGATGATGATGATGATGAAATAATTTATTATAATATGAAATAGAAAACGGGCCTCTGATAACGGGAACGGTTGAGAAGAGTGCAAAATCAGAAAAAAAAACCAAAACGTTTTAAGAAATTCGAAATAAATTAGGTTGATAACAAATGTATTAATGCTATATTTAATTTGATTAATGCTATATTTAATTTGATTAATGCTATACTATATTTATTGTGATAAATAATTAGAGTAACATACAAAAAACAATTTAAAATTAATACGGTGGTTTCGGATAATATCCTGAGTTTTACTTAAGTCAATTTCGTTGACATAGGCTTTGCTAAGCGCGCACTCAGAATGACTTCGAAGTCAGCTCTATTAATATCGACATTGACTTAGCTCGAAAGTAAAGTCTGAACAAAATCAAAGTACGGTCTATAGTTCTCAGCCGAAGAGTCTGCCTTTTTATTTCTGACCGCACGTAGAAAATCAAAAGTTAAAACTCCAGTTAACAATTTCATTGATGCTAAAAATTGAACGTAGTTTACTAGACTACTACGCAATTTGAAATCGAGATTTTATTAAGAAAATATACAAAAAGATATTTTCTTCTTTTTCATTATTCAGTAAAAGTCCACTTCTGCCTTGAGCCACTCTCAATGTAGGTAGGATTTGCTTAAAATACCTTACACAATACATATGATATACGGTAAAAAACGACAATGAAAAAGCTTGACGTACATCAACAAACAAGCAATTTATAATAATTATTTTATTTTAATTCTCTTAATTTGCGGTATGGATATCTATCATTTCCTTTACGCCAGCTATTGAAAGCCTTAAAATTATATATTTTATTTTATTTTTTTATTATAATTATCAATGGGGCAAACGAGCATGGGGCTCACCTGATGGAAAGTGTCTACAGCCGTCCATGAACAACTGCAACACCACGGGAATTGTAAATGTCTTTTATGCATATCCCATTGTCATTTCTTACTATACCCACGGGACGAGATGGCGTGATGGATTCTCTTCCCCATTTCACATTCCACCACCACACCAAGCCATATTTTTATCTAATCAGGTCAAAATATTTAAGTTTATGTGAAACGTTAAAAACACCAACAAAACAACGGGCGCAATCGAAATAAAGAAATTCGTTAAAAAAATATTCCAGCAGTTTTTATTACTTTAAAAATAACGAATTTAGTTTGTACAGCAAAATTAAAGCGCTACTCAGTGTGATATAATATGAAAGAAATAGAGATATGTTTCAGAAAAAATACTCAAATGTTATAAGATTAAAAACTTCAGAACCTATCAAATTAGACATTTTTATTAAGGAACATTTTTTTTAAAGTGACGTTCGAACTTGCAGTCCACGGCCACGGATAAGATTAAAAAAATCTTTTTCGTCACCTTTTTGTCGCTTATGACTCAACTTTAGTTATAGGCGACAGAAGCAATTGAATGAATTTAATTTCCTGTTTCCTCGTCCTCTTCCTTGAAATATTATTTTAATCTACTTAGGAACTCTGAATATTCAATGGCCGAGCGTGGCCATATTTTATTTGTAACTTTCATGCATTAAAATGATCTATTAGTCTAAAAGAGCTTTTTTAGTTTTTACTGTTTTCAGTCTGCAAAAAGTTAAAATAATACATTTTTTTATGCCATGTAGCGTACATTATAAAGTTTTCTTTAAAAGTAATTGGGTGCCCAACGAGCACACAGCCCACCTGATGGTAAGTGCATGCTATAACTCATAGACATCTACATCTATTCTCAATTAATCAAAATGCAAATGCGTTGTCACCTAAGGACTTAGATGGATAGATGGAACGCCTTGTTTCTAGTAAAAAGATCTCCGGTTCTCTACACTTACCATACAAAACAGAGCAGCGTGAAGCTGCTATTTACGCTGGTATTCTGTGAGAGCGTGGACCTTCCCCGGTCGAGCCGACCCATTCGTGCTACAACAATACTACTAATATAGCTGCAGCATGGCTCTACCACGTTTTAAATTCTGTTCGTTCGTTCTGTTAAGATGCTCGTAGCAGCCCGGATTAAAGAAGTTGAACGTGCTCCATCGGTTACTAACCGCTAGGTCTTTTTTAGCATTTTTCTTAAATACTTTACTTACTTATCTTCACGCACAATCCCTGACGGGGTAGCCAGAGAGAACAGATCGCCAAGTGTCACGATCCTTACAAACCTCTTTCGCTTCTTTCAGATTCATTATCTTCTTCATGCATGCACGTCTAGGTATCCGAGTACTCTTGACCCTACCCTCTTCGAGCAATTTGCTCACATGGTCTTCGAAAGTAAGTCTCGGTCTACCTCGACACCTTTTAATATTAACTTTCGCGCTATATATTTTCTTCACCATTCGGTCTTCACTCATTCGCTCAACGTGCCCAAACCACCGAAGCACGCCCTTATCAATTTTTGTGATAAGGTCATCTTTCAAACCTGCCATATTGCGAATCTCTTCGTTTCGCTTTCGGTCGGCCATGGTAACGCCGCACATTTTACGAAGAGATCGCATCTCCACTGCATTCAACTTACTTTTATGCTTCTTCTGGCATACCCAGGTTTCGCTGCCATATAACAAAGTCGGTACCAACACTGCGTTATGTATTGCAAGGCGTGCACTCTTCGCTACGCCTTGCCTTTTGACTAACGCAGTCAGGGCACCATTGACTTTGTTCCCGGCAGCGACACGCCTGTCCACATCTAAATCACATCTTCCATCCCTGCTAAAAGCACTCCCCAAGTATTCAATTTCATTTACCTGTTCTAGACATTCCTGATTTACCCATATTTCACACTTCGTTCTCTCTTCGTCCCTTTCAAATACCAGAACCTTAGTTTTATTAGCATTCAAACGGAGACCTTTAATTTCACATTCCTCTTTCATACATGTGACTAATGCCTGCAGTTCTGCCTCTGATGGTGCAATAAGCACTGCATCATCAGCATTTGCATTGCATTTTTCTTAAATGATTAACGTCAAATAGATTTCAATAGAAATGTTGTGTAAATCGTTAAAAAGAGGTCTGTTAAATTTATTTTCCTCTTGAAGTTTCTCTTTTATTTTTTATTTTCCTCTCGGGTTTCACAGCGCTTTGTATTAATAAGAAAGGCTGTTTTTTTAATAACATTGATATGAGCACTAAATCTAGGTCGCCTACCTCGGTTCCTTTCGCCATACTCATATTCCCGCACAATGCAGCCATATGAATGTAGGTTTTCCATAATTTCGGGTTTCTTAGGACATTGTTTTAAAAGTTTTTATAATCTGTTACTGCAACATATGTACTATATTTTATTAAATAGTTTAGTAAAGAATGCACCAGTGGTTGGACAAGTAAAAAAAGGAAATGAAAAAAGAGTGACAAAGCAATTTGTCCTAACACCCTAGAGCGAAGCCATTGAATTAAAATGAAGATATATTAACATGAACCTAGTTAAGAGTACTCTTTACCGTTGAGCATGTATGCATGTATGAGATACACGCTTAGTATATTCAGGATCAGGTGTGTCAGGATTGCGCTAAATGCTCAGGGTGATAGCGATGAGAGTTTATGTTATATGCCACCTATGTTATGTTATATTACATATATATATATATATATATATATATATATATATATATAATTCATATTATAATTTATATATGAGACTTATCCCAAACAATGGAGCCTGATAGCTACAATACAACATCGCTGCAGGGGGTGCGTGCTCTCTCATGGTCTAAAATGTATTGCAGGCAAACTCTGTATATGCCGCCACCGCAGCTTACTACGCTTAATGAATTCCACAGAACTGCATCCTTCTTTTTAACTAGTCATTCCATAAATATCGCCATGTTTGTTATAATCTGAACATAATAACCTAATTGCACTTGTAGTTAAATAATGTTATTTTTCTTTGTCTCTTTCATCATACATCAAATGCCTCAGTCCCCTCCGTGACGATGGGTTCTGAAAAGCACCTGAAACGACTGAAATTCAAAATTAAATTTTATTGCGATCCGTAAAATAAGTTATGTATGCTTTGTACAAATAGGTCTGAAGAGAGAGCACCAGATTCATGACAGGCTGTGGGGCATTCCAGTAGACAATGCATCTGACATCCAAAATTCAATATGGCAATAAATTGACATCAGGACAATCTTATGCCCGTTTGACTCCTCTTCTATAAAAAAAATATTATGATTGAGAAAAAAAAAACTAATGTTTTGACACGATGACAAAAGTAGATCAATACAGGCTGCAGGCAGCTCAGGTTTATGCCTCGTGATATCTTTGTTGGTTAATTATATTCAGCTGAGTACTGTACAACTTGGTGTAGGACATTTGTGATAATGATTTGTTCGGCGATGATTTGTGATATCAAAACAATAACTTGAAGAAAATTAAATATATTTGTATCTTAAAATTCATTCAAAGCTTGCGTATTTAATTCCGTTTTGGTACTGCTTGGATGTTCGTTAGTGTATTAAGTGTTTCGCTATTCAGTGTTTGTTAGGGATTACAAAATCTTTAATTGCAATTCATTATACAAATAACGTTTCTATTGGAACAATTTGGCATTCACAGGCATTTTTAGTGTTTGTGAATAATAATAATAATAATGTTTGCTTTATTTGCTCTCACAAGTTACATTGCCTCGTATTAATATTATTGGAGGTATAACCATTTTAATTTGTGAGAGCCTGGTGTTAGTAGTAGGAAATACCTGTATGAATAATCACCACACTCTCGTCCCTTAATGTAACATTTATCAACATACCTTTAACTTCAGTGCAATTCGTGCGACAATATGATTTATAATTGCTGTTTTTGTAATTAAAGTTACAATAAAAAGAAAAAAAAGTAAAAACTAATTTACACGTGAGTGCATATGTGCGTACGTGTGTGCGTACGTGCGTGCACGCGTTTTTTTTTTATATGTTAAGGATGACAAACGAGCACACAGTCCACCCGATGGTAAGTGGTTGCTGCGGCCCATAGACATCTACATCTATCCTCTATTACAAATCAAACTGTAGATGCGTTCTCACCCGTGAGGACTAAGATGGAATGCCTCATTTCCAGTAAAAAGGGCCTCCGGCCACCTGCACTCACAAAGCGAAACGCAGAGGTAAACCTCTACTTCACTGGTTTTCTGTGAGGTCGTGGTACCACCCCGGTTCGAGCCGGCCCATTCGTGCGACAGCAAAAGCTGCCGCGTGGCTCTACCACTGTTTAAAACGCGTGCGTGGGCGCGTGCATGCGCGCGTGGGTGCGTGCGTTCGTGTGCATCCCTGCGTATCCCATAACTTGAAAGGATTCCTTTGCTAGATTTACAATTAAAAATAAAGGCCATTTCAGATTACATTTTTTATACTACTAAGTTTCATGATCCATTAATCTAAGCGACAACAGCCAGTAGTGAGCTTGAATGGGGCTAATAATTTTCTGCTCACCAGATGTCGCTAGTTGACACTGAGGTAAAGTTTTTTTGTTACGCAATGTCATTTAATTGAGAAGTTAGTTTTTACATAAAGGTGTATCAGTTTCTAGAGTATTATATTAATACACAAAACAATGCGTCAGTGGTTTGCTCTTTAATTTTTTGCACAATTTTAACTTTTTTTTTAAATTTTTCTACTTTTGTGAATATCTGTTGAAACATTAACCTTTACATTTTCCAAACAAATGAACCCCCCACTTTGAAATCTGTCAAATAATATAACCTCACTTTTAAGTGGCGCCGCCTTGGTAGCATCCATACTATTTGCCTACTGTCATGAACCACTTCTAATATTTTAATGTTACTCCAAGTGGTTAACGCAGGTACTAGTAATGTTAATAGCATTACTAGTGTTCTCTATTTAAAAATAAGATTGTCAGCGATATAGTTTCTAATTCAGATTCCTTTTTGTTTTGAACTCATTAAAATTAAATACCTTCGTTAGTTACGGAAGCCAGAACACATAAAAAAACGTATTAGAGAAAAATACAATGCGGCATAATTTTGAGACGAATTCCCATTTGTTGCTATAATAGTTGATGATATAAGAAAGAAATAAATATAAGAAAGAACGAAAGAAATAAGGAAAGAATAAAAGAATAAAGAAATACAGAAAGAAAGAAAGAAGGAAAGAAGGAAGGAAAGAAAGAAACAAAGAAAATAAGTTTATTTCGTAACATATATAGTTTGTCTTATAATATTAACATATAAATTTGGTAAATGCTTACTAAAAAGGTACCCAACTCAGTATATTCTTGGTACTGACAAAGTAATTAGACGCTGACCTCCGTGAGCCAATGAAAATTTTATAAAAATTAAACGTAACATTATACATTATTATAGAATATAAATAAAAAGCGCACATTTAGTTAAACAAAAATAAAAAAAACGAATAAACCGACTAGAAAAGTAAGCATATAAAACACAGTATAGTATAATTTTTAATAAGTTTCCTATATATAGAATATACATGTGGTGCAATTGTATTAAACTGTTTAGTTTATATTTTATTATTATTGTATTAAACTTAATTAGTTGTATATAAAATGTTTCTTTGTTTCTAGATATCAAATTAAAAACACCCACCATATGAAAATGTTGTGGAAAGACGTAACTAAATGGTAGCTATCCTTTCATGCCAAAACATCCGTCTAAGGTAGCAGTTTTTTTGTGTTAAAAAAAAGACTATTGATTCAGTCTACCCTTACTATGAATTTACTCACATTTTAGGACTATGTTATTCTTCCAACCTTTATTCTTTTAACTGTTCGATTTTAATCAAAAAATGTATATAAATTAATTATGAATAATACAGATTTAAATCGCTATTTTTCCACGTACGTATAGATAATGGAGACAAACGAGTACACAGTCCACCTTTTGTTAAGTGGATGCTGTGGGATTAAGAATCAAAATGCAAATGCCTTATCACCCCTGTGAACTAAGATGGAATGCTTCGTTTCCAGTGACCAGGGTCACAGTTTCTCTACCTTTAGCTGAACCCATCTCTTTATTATTTTATTGTATTGTAATAAAATATTTTCTGTGACACTACCTTATTCTTATTCTTTTACTAGATCTATAAGTTACTTAATCTAACAACAAAATAACTACCTAAAACCACTACGTGAGAACATGCGAGACGAACGAGTTCATTGACGTACAAACGTATACATACGTATATTATTTTAATGCGATACTCGTAGAAAAATACTCTCCGAATGACTGAAAACACTCAGTTCTATGCTGAGATATAGACCACATATCAGAATAAATTTCTCGTAGGCACAACATACAGCGTAATATTACAGCCGTATTGACTCTACATACAGACAGAGCACATTATTGACTGTGACGACTTCACTTGGTTTATAGTAATGGATCGTAATGTATATAACTATTATATGACTTCAACATTCATTGATTCAGAACACGCTGTAAAACTTCCTTTCAAGATAATTAAAAACACAAAAATAATACCTTATATAAAAGGTAAGACCTTCCTTCAAAGTTCAAAGTATTCCTTTTAGACATAAAAGTAAGGTAAGACCTTCCTTTTAAGTATTCAAGATGTTAAAAATTGATTAGCTAAGTCCGCATAATAAGATGAAATGGTGTGTCTTACACCCTCTCTCAACTACGTGCACTATCCCCGTCACCACTAACTAACCACTACTCTCAACACCACTACACTAGGAAAGACATAACTAGGAGGGAGGTGTTCCTCAAACTTGGTAAGACACATTATTTTATTTTGTAATGCGAAACGTAGCTACTTAGTTTTTCTTTTATAATTATTAATCTTATAAAATTCATCTTTAATATAATGGTTTCCACAAAGTAACACCAGTCAATGAACTTATCCTAAACGGCTAACCAATTTTGGTTTGATTTAGCCCGGTAGGTGGCGCTATTCTCGAGATCCAGAAATCAACCGTGCGAAACCAGGGTGGATCATCATCATCATCATCATTACAGCCCTTCACAAGTCCACTGCTGAACATAGGCCTCCCCCAAAGAATGCCACAAAGCACGGTCCTGAGCCACCTGCATCCATCGACTTCCTGCAAATCTTACCAGGTCGTCACTCCATCTAGTGGGGGGACGCCCTACACTTCGCCTGCCGGTACGAGGCTGCCACTCGAGAACCTTTCTTCCCCATCGGTTGTCGGTTCTTCGAGCTATATGGCCGACCCATTGCCACTTCAGCTTACTAATCCGTTGGGCAGGGTGGATCGCTAACATATAATAATCTCCAACGGTTTTATAGACATAAGTCTAGCGTACGATACATTATGTATCACTTATTAATTATTACGGTATTACCCGCCAGTCCAATATGCTACAAACAAACAGCAAATGCAAAACAAAATGGATATCGACAACAGCGTCACCTTCGGGGTCTAATTTGAATCTAGGTTACCCTCACAATCACAGAATTTTTTTATCAAAATGGGTCGAGCCATTATCGAGTTTTTGCGAGACTAACGAACAGCAATTGATTTTAATAATATTTTCGATGGATTAGGTCAGTCCGCCTCTTGCGCGATGTCAATCGAACACGACTCGCCCCGCTCAATTATGCATTACCCCTACGTAGCGCTAAGCTGATTTAGGTACTCATTTGCGAACCAAAATATCGAGATATGGATTGATTTTTATATGCTCCACATTGTTTTACAATTTTACTAGGGATCTATAACTGCCAAGGTGTCCATCAAAGTAATTATTTTTTAATAAAACCTGACCTCTGTACTTGGATTAGATCCTGTATCGTGGAGGCAATTTACTTCTTCTTCTTCTTCTACCTAGCGTTTATCCCGGTTGCTCATCCCGCCCAGCGCGGGAGAACCCAGGGTCCGCTTTCCAACACTTCCTCCTCCACTTTGCCCGGTCTTCGGCGTCCCTCACAACTAGCCCATTGGCGCGCATGTCATCCTGCACGACATCAAGCCAGCGTTTCTTGGGCCGTCCTCTACTCCTGGTACCAGGTAAGGTCATGTCTAGGCATTTGTTTCCCACGTAGCTTGCTGGTCGTCGTAAGACGTGGCCGTACCAGCGGAGGCGACTTTCCTGCAGCTTGTCAGCAATGTCACGGACATGGAGGCTGCCGCGGATGTATGTATTCCGTACACGGTCTTTCCGCGTGACGCCACACATCCACCGCAGCATGTTCATCTCTGTGACATGCAACAACTGCCGGTGTCGCTCCAGCACCGGCCACGCCTCACTGCCGTACGTAAGGACAGGCCTTATGATGGTCTTATAGACCTGTCCCTTCAGCTTGACCGGAATTTTGGGGTCACAAATGACACCCGTCACCTCGCGCCATTTCGCCCAAGCCGCTGATATACGGGCCTTGATGTCGCGATCGATGTCACCGGACGCAACAAGCACAGATCCGAGGTACCTGAAGTAGTCCGTGCGCTCAACGGTGTCGTCGCCTATACGGAGAGACGTCAGATCTGTGCTGTTGCAGGCCATATACTCCGTCTTCGCCACGTTTAGCTTCAGCCCGCCGTTCTCAAGCGCCTCCCTCCATGCGTGCACGCGTCTGGTGAGCCGTCCTTTGTCCCCATCTACCAGTGCGATATCATCAGCGTACATAAGCAGCCAAGGCTGCGGCAGTTTCTGTACGCTGGCTGACAGTTCGTCTAATATCACACTGAAAAGATAGGGGCTTAAGGCGGAGCCCTGATGCACGCCTATGGTTATGGGGAAGGGGGTGGTATCACCAACAGCGGTCCTAACTATTGAATCGGAGTTGCGGTACATGTCACGTACGATTTCCACGTAGGTCTCTGGTACCAACTTCGACCGCAACGCCCACCAGATCATCTCCCTAGGAACACAGTCAAAGGCCTTCTGCAGGTCTAGGAATAAAAAATGCAGAGGCATATTCTTTTCCCTGTGCTTCTCCATGAGGATCCTTAGGGCGAATATAGGGTCCATGGTACCGCGTCCTGGTTGGAAACCGTACTGGAAGTCCGACACTGTACACTCCTGTCGGATCCTGGTGTCAATAATGCGCTCGAAGAGCTTCATGGTGTGTGACATTACCTTTATACCGCGGTAATTACCGCAATCCTGAACGGACCCTTTACCCTTGTGGACCGGCGTTATTATACTAAGCCGCCACTGATCGGGCATTATTCGGTCGCTCAGGATTCTATTATAAAGGTTAGTAAGAATGCACACACCACGAGCCCCCAGCGCTTTCCACGCTTGAATTGGCACCTCGTCCGGTCCGACAGCTTTCCGATTCTCCATGTGACGAAGAGATGCGAGGACCTCGTCAGGCGTAATCGGTGGCACGAGTCCATGGTTCGGGAGTTGTTCGGGAGGGTGCACTTCCCGGTGCTGAGTAGAGGCAATTTACAAATATACATAAATTGCACAATGACAAACATTTAGACCCGGAATAATTATTTCTGGGATATAGAAATACTGGTTCCGTGCAGAACTCAAACCTGCGGCCCTCAGCCCTCAACGCCGCAACTCAATGTTCAGCCACTGCGCCGTCAATATTATTGCCATTCTTTTACGTATTCCGAGTAGTAGTGGCGTAAGGATATCCACTACCTCATATCACTCCGTGGGTGTCGTAAGAGGCGACAAAGGCTAACTAATCAGGAGATGGACAGCAAAAAAAACAGTCATAGCCAACTCTATTTCCAAGTGTGGTAACTGTAGCCAATGCAAGTCAATCTATGGAGGACGCCTATATTTAGCAGTGGACTTTTGTAAGCTGTAACGGTAACGATTTCACGTATTTCAGTCACGCATGGCAATTGGATTGACGATTCGTACCTTGGAAACTGCTGCTTATCACCGATCAGAGTATTTTAAGTCTGACGTAAACCAGATATTTATTTTTCATAGGATAATGATGACAAACGAACACTTAGTACACCTGATGGTAAGTGGATGTTGAGGCACATAGATAGACACATCTATCCTCGGTTTATCAAAATACAGATGCGTTGTCACCCCTGAGGACTCACCTTACCATACGAAGCACGGCAGCATATGTTATTTCACGTTGGTATTCTGTGAGAACGTGGTCTTTTCCCGGTCGATCCGACCCATTCACACTACTACCATTATCAGGATAGACTAGTAGAGAATATTACAAGGCACTTTCTTCGCCCTTTGTAACACGTTAAAAGTATATGCAATAAAGGATGATTGCAAAAAAATAGCTGCAGCGTACCACGTATAAAAGCTATACTATAATGTGTTATAATATTGCATTTGATCGTATATCGTTTTATTTATCTAAATTTAACACGTAGCAGTAATCCGTTCCGAATACTGCTACGTACTTTACGTTTATTATAACTTGATAAAATATTACGCCGGTGTTGAGCTTATGAAATATATTTTTATTAATGCCTGGGAGAATTCACAAGATGCCTTAGGTATTTTCTGTGATCTTTCCAAGGCTTTCGATTGTGTTTATCATGAGACATTAATCAGGAAACTACATTACGGTGTAAAAAATTTAGCGCTTAGACTTATTACTTCATATTTAAGTAACAGAATTCAAAAAGTAGTGAGTAATGGTAAAGGTTCCTCCGGATCGGTAGTAACAATGGGCGTTCCTCATGGCTCGATTCTTGGTCCATTCCTGTTTTTAATCTATATTAATGACTAACCTTATCTTGTAGGGGACAATCACGATATAGTATTATTTGCTGACGATACCTCTTAAATTTTCAAACTCAAACGACAGTTAGTTAATTATGACGATGTAAATAATGCTCTATCGAAATGGGTACATTGGTTTTACAACGCCAACAATATGCTCTTAAACGGCAATAAGACAAAATTTATTAAATTTACAATACCTAATGTAAAACATTCGAATACCAATGTGCTGTTAAATTGGGAGGAGTTGAGTATTGTGGATACCACTGTTTTTCTTGGTATTACTATTGACGCGAAACTTCAATGGGGCCCCCATATATCTAAATTAGCAAGCAGACTTAGTTCTGCAGCATATGCTGTAAGAAAGATTAGAAGTCTCACAGATGTTGAGATAGCTAGGTTAGTGTATTTTAGTTACTTTCATAGCGTAATGTCTTATGGAATTTTGCTATGGGGTAATGCGGCTGATATTGAAGTTATATTTGTTTTGCAAAAGAGAGCCGTACGGGCGATTTATAACCTAAATTATAAAGAGTCCCTCAGAGAAAAATTTAAAGAAATAAACATATTAACTTTGGCATCGCAATATATTTATGAGAATGTAATGTATGTACATAAAAACATAAATAACTTTAATAAGAATAAGGATGTGCGTACTTTATATACTAGGAACAAACATAAGCTTGTAATACCAGTTACTAGACTCCACAGAATCTGTAATTCATTTCTGGGGCAATTTATACGCTTTTACAATAAAATCCCAGAACATATTCAAAGTTTGTCACTAAACAAGTTTAAAAGTTGTATTAAAGAAAAACTGTACAAAAAGGGTTATTTTATAATATCAAGGAATACATGAATGAAAATAACGCCTGGAAATAGGATGATCGCCACCATGCTGGTTCTATGAAAAATCATTTAAAAATTGTATAAGCAAAGGTGGAGGACAGAGTGCAGAGTTGGCACGTGGAATGTTAGAGGAGGCATGAGAGATAAGACGAATGAGTTGATCGAAATAATGAAAGAAAGAGAATTAGATGCCGTGTGTATGTCGGAGACCAAACGGAAGGGCAGTGGTACTGAAGAGCTCCCTGGCGGGGCGTTAGCTCTATGGTCCGGAGTCCCGGAGAGCGAGAACGCCTGCCAGGGAGTGGGGGTGCTGCTGTCTTCTCGGTTGGTCGATGTTATGACTGAATATAAGGTTGTGAAGTCAAGACTTCTCTGGGTTCGCTTTAAATTGGGACTGACGAAGTTATTGCTTTTGGCTGTTTATGCGCCGGTAGCTTCGTCGTCCAGGGCTGAGCTGGAGGAGTTTTGGGAGAATGTAAGAGAAGTTCTAGATTTGGCTATGGGAAACGAAAGAATTGTTGTATGTGGTGATTTGAATGGATGGGTTGGTACCGCTCGACCAGGGTACGAGTCGGTACTTGGAAAGTTTGGCGATAAAAGGGTTAATGATGCTGGCAAGCTTATACTGGTGGTATGCAAGGAAAAGGGTCTTCTTGTGACAAACACTATGTTTAATCACAAGAAAATCCATATGTATACTAGAGAAAGAAAGAATGAGAGAAGTATGATCGATTTGTTCCTGGTGGATGACCGACTGCGAAAACAGGTTATGGATACGCGAGTGTTCAGGGGTGCTGACCTGGGAACGGATCACTATCTAGTGATTACTAGATTTAGGGGTCTGTTCGCGGGTTGGCGCTGCGAAATGTGGTAAGGCTGCGGGACTAGACAGAGTTACTGCTGAAATGGTCAAGTATGGTGGGCCTCGTGTCTGGGACAGCTTTCATCTGCTGTGCAATTTGTGCTGGCGGACGGGGTATGTCCCGGATGATTGGCGATCCGCAGTCATTGTGCCTTTATATAAAGGTAAAGGTTCACATTTTGACTGTGGGTGCTATCGGGCGATCAGCTTGACCAGTTTAGCAAGTAAAGTTTACTCGAAGGTTTTGACACGTAGGATGCAAGAGAAATCGGAAAGATTTCTATGGGAGGCACAATGCGGATTTAGACCTGGAAGAGGATGCACGGATCAAATGTTTTCTCTCCGCATGATCACGGAAAAGCTTCTGGCTGCTAACCAGAGGATTTTCTGTGCTTTTGTGGATCTTGAGAAAGCATTTGATAAGGTTGTAAGGAAGAAAATGTGGGAACTGTTGCCGGGGTATGGTGTGGCTGGTCAATTGCTGAGGGCTGTGCAGTCTCTTTACTGTGACTGTAAAGCCTGTGTGCGGGTAGGGCATGACCTGTCACCCATGTTTAGCGTCCAAACGGGCGTAAAACAGGGTTGTGTCATGTCTTCCTGGCTGTTCATACTGTATCTCGACAGCTGTTTACAAAAGCTGAAAGATAGCTGTTTGGGTGTGAAATTGGGTGACATAAAAGTAAATTGTCTGCTGTATGCTGATGATGCAGTGCTTATTGCACCATCAGAGGCAGAACTGCAGGCATTAGTCACGTGTATGAAAGAGGAATGTGAAATTAAAGGTCTCCGTTTGAACGCTAATAAAACTAAGGTTCTGGTATTTGAAAGGGACGAAGAGAGAACGAAGTGTGAAATATGGGTAAATCAGGAATGTCTAGAACAAGTAAATGAAATTGTATACTTGGGGAGTGCTTTCAGCCGGGATGGAAGATGTGATTTAGATGTGGACAGGCGTGTCGCTGCCGGGAACAAAGTCAATGGTGCCCTGACTGCGTTAGTCAAAAGGCAAGGCGTGGTGAAGAGTGCACGCCTTGCAATACATAACGCAGTGTTGGTACCGACTTTGTTATATGGCAGCGAAACCTGGGTATGCCAGAAGAAGCATAAAAGCAAGTTGAATGCAGTGGAGATGCGATCTCTTCGTAAAATGTGCGGCGTTACCATGGCCGACCGAAAGCGAAACGAAGAGATTCGCAATATGGCAGGTTTGAAAGATGACCTTATCACGAAAATTGATAAGGGCGTGCCTCGGTGGTTTGGGCACGTTGAGCGAATGAGTGAAGACCGAATGGTGAAGAAAATATATAGCGCGAAAGTTAATATTAAAAGGTGTCGAGGTAGACCGAGACTAACTTTCGAAGACCATGTGAGCAAATTGCTCGAAGAGGGTAGGGTCAAGAGTACTCGGATACCTAGACGTGCATGTATGAAGAAGATAATGAATCTGAAAGAAGCGAAAGAGGTATGTAAGGATCGTGACACTTGGCGATCTGTTCTCTCTGGCTACCCTGTCAGGGATTGTGCGTGAAGATAAGTATAAACAAAATTATAGTTAAATGAAATTATGTTTAAAAAAAGTCCCGCTGGGTTTCTTGCTGGTTCTTCCCAGGACTGAGGTGTTTTCCGAACCAGTGGTAAATAAAAAATGACTTTCAATAAGTATTATGTAATAACCAATATTGAATAAAAATTATTCTATTCTATTCTATTAAGTTATTTGAAGGAAAATACTTATCAGCACAAAATCTTGGCTGCTTGCCTTCAATTTTAACTTTCGAATTTCAGGTGTCGAGCAGGTGGGTGTTATTATATTTTTTTAAAACATACTCGTATTTTAAGAGCTTTTTTTTTAGTAATTTTAATTTGATAATGCGTTTTATCTGTAATCTTGTCAACGACATATTGCTGA